ACAACAACAACAACAACAACAACAAATGAATAGGAATTAAATCTCAATGGTAGTTAAATGCTACCTACTTTATCTCGAATGTGCCCAATTTATCATACCCCTGCAAGCATTCCAGATACACAAGCATTTTTAATAGTTTTTACAACATGTGGAGCAGTGAACTCTGAGTTCTGGCGTTTCATGTTAGTCCCTGATTAATTGATGACCATGGACAGCCCATTGGACTAGTTCTCTTTTCTCAATGATTCATTTTCATAAAGGAAGCAAAGTAAAACAGAGTATTTTAAAGAAATAGTTTAACACTACAATGATGCATTTTACCTTCCAAAGGATCAAAGGTTGAAGACTTATTACTGATGATATTGTCACAGTAAAGGAAGTCTCGTAACATATTGGCAAGAGTATCATGTGTTCGTTGGTATTTTGGAAAAAAAATTGATGAGTGATTCAGCCTTCAAGTGCATCAAAACTGAGGATCATGTGTGGAATAAGCTTTCTGTGGGAAGACTTCTGTCCCAGCGTTCCACATAGTGGGGTGCCACACACTAAGGTGTTATCAGAGCAGCAGGTACAGTGAGGATGAGAGATCTGTAAAAGGTGATCATCTCAGAACTATATAGACCGAGGATGTGAATTCTACAAGATGTTCATGACAGGGTTGTGTACTGTGAAGATGTGATTTCTGTTTGAAGAGGTTCATCATGGCGCTATGTATCATGGCACTGTAAGATGATCCTCACAGTGCTCTATGTTGTTGTTAAGTGCTGTTGAGTCAGTTCCAACTCGTAGTGACCATGTATAGGGTGTCCAGGGAACAGCTAGTGAGTGTGAACTGCTGACCTAGGAGTTAAAACTGACCTTCCAGTCCAGTGCTTATTCTACAAGTCCACACAAGGACTGCAGTGGGGATGAGAGCGCTGTTAGAAGATGTCCACCACAGCATTGTGCATGCTGGGGATGAGGGATCCCTAAAGAGATGCTCATCACAGAATTCTCTGTAGCGGGGATGAGAGCGCTGTTAGAAGATGTCCACCACAGCTTTATATACACTAGCAGGAATAACAGGAGACTGAAGGTGCACAGCTAGATGGGGAATAAAGTAGAGGAACTAGTAACCCTCCAGAGGTTTCCTAAAGGTCTCAGCTTATAAATCCTGTCTCAGTAATGTCTCCACAGCAACTCACCACATGTTTATGTCCTCACATCATAAAGTCAGAGAAACAGCAGTATTTTATTTTGTTCACAATCAGCAACACGTTACTAATAGGATGAATGGCCAGCACTGCCGAAGTCTCAATCTAGGGAGCAAAGTTGACATTTGTGTCCTCGTTTCCTGTCCGTCTTATTTTTGTGTGATGCTGTTTTTATCAGAGCAATGCCAGAAACCCAACTTCACTAACATACAGCATCATGAAAATATGGCATCATCAAAAGGAACATGTGTTGTCATTGGTGGGTACCATAGAGTCATTCATGTGGACCTCACGTGACATAAGGTTTGTAAGGCTACAGATCTTTATGGAAGCAGACGGCCACACCATTCTCCTACTGAGTAGCTGGGGGCTTGGAGCTGCTGACTTTTCTGTTAACAGCTGAGCATTTAACTACTGCTCTATCAGGGCTCCCCAACGACCCCAAACCAAACGAAACACGCTTCTGTCGAGCTGATTCTTACTCACAGTGGCCTTGTAGGACAGAATACAACTGCTCCATGGGGTTCCCAAGGTTGGCATCTTCACAGAAGCAAACTGCTGCATCTTTCTCCCACAAAATGACTGGTGGGTTCGAACTACTGACCTTTTGGTCTGAGCATTTAACCACGGTGCCACCAGCGATCCTTAAATGGAATGCAACTGTTCTAACGTTGTCAAACTACTATTTCATACAGTGCCCCAAAGATGTGAAGCATGACTGTGTTCCCTTTAACATGCACTGTGGCATCCCAGGAAGTCTACCGAGGCTCCCACAGTTAAGGACAGCAGATATATGTTGTTATTGTTGTTGCTAAAAGCCAGAGTGGATTCTGACTCAGTGCCCCCATGTGACAGAGTCAAGCTGTCCCACAGGGGGTCTTGGCTGTCATCTCACAAAGCCACTAGGTGGATTTGAACCGCCAGCACTTAGATTTAGCAGCCGAGTGCTTATCTGTGGCACTAGGGCTCTTCAACAGATGCATCCATAAATATGTGTGTGTGTGCTATTTGTATGTATAGGTCTATTGTACGATAAGCAATGGGCTGATAACTATAAAGTCAGTGGTTCACATCCACCAGCTCCTTCTTGGAAACCCTATTCAGGATCTCCTTAGAAACTCTACTTAGGGTCATTATGGCACTTAACAAAACCATCCTTTGTCTAGCCATATATACACTGTATACAAATGTGGAATATGCTCATCACAAAATCATAAGTGAAAAAACTCAGGATTTATAACTCGATTTTCTATTATCTTTATGTGCTTAAATAGCTTTGGAATGCTTTACAATATAAATATATTACATAGATTCCTGAATAGGAATTTAAAATTGAATATGCTACTAAACCTGGATGGAAATTATTCTCTCTTCCTCTCCCCTCCAAAAAATGTATCTGTAAAAGTAAGGTGAATATTGAAAGGGAAAGAATGAGAATCTCCCAGAAACGTCTATCTGTTTAAATTAGTATGAATCTTGACTCATGTGACTTATCTCCCTTTTTTATGTGAGAACTTAAAGTTGAATTATTCATCGTTTATTAATAAACTCTGAAGTACCATAGAAGAGATGAGATGCACTGGACCATTAGCGACGGGCGATGTAGTCCCAGTTCTCAAAAAAACAGAATTAAGCATCTGGGGCCATTGGCCTATGTGCGTTATCTGATGAAACATTGAATATTCATGTACACACCACAGCTCCCATAGGGGCCAGTAGATCCACGGGCAGACACGCTGAGGCTCCTCGAAGTTGGATACAGTGCGTGGGAAGTCTGTTGCTGGCACATTTGTCAGAGAGCCACAAGGAATGCATCCAGATTCAATAAGAAAGCTCGAGGTAGACTTGTTCTTGTTAGGTGCTATCGAGTCAGTTCATACCGAGCCTGTGCATGAAAAACGAACCACTGCCTGATCCTACGCCAAACTCACAATTGTTGTTATGTATGGGCCCACTGCTGTAGCCACTGTGCCAATCCATCTCGCTAGGGTCTTCTTCCTTTTTGCTGACCCTCTCCTTTACCGAGCTTGATGTCCTTTACCAGGGATGGGCCCTTCCTGAGAACATGTCCGAAGTATATGAGACCCAGTCTCCCATCCTGGCTTCCCAGGAGCATTCCGACTGTACTTCTTCCAAGACAGATTTGCTCAGTCTTCTGCCGGGCCAGGTTACTTTCCATACTCTTCACCACTGCAATCCAAAGGCATCAGTTTTTCTCCAGGCTTCCGTATGCATTGTCCTGCCTTTGCACACATGTGGGGTGAACGGAAATGCCATGGCACAGTTTAGTCTTCAGCAGCGGCATCTTTGCTCTTTAAAATCTTACAGAGGCTTTTGCAGCAGAACTGTCCAATGCAATACGTTCTTTGGTTTCTTGGAGACATGGATTGTGGATGCCAGTAAAAAGAAAACCCTGGTCAATATAGTCCTCTCAGCAGGGCACACTCGCTTTGCTCCTCTCTGCAGGACACTACCCGCTTTCTGTCCTTTGAGGGACTGAGGGACAGCCATTATTGATGATCATTGGTGAAGGCAACTGGCCCAGCATTTTATCTCTCTGCTTCCTTTTCATTTAAAGGGCCCCTGTATTTAGAGGAAGGAGGAACTGTCTTAGGTCCCTCCGTGGTGTACATACT